AATAAATCCATGTCATCTTCTTTCTGAAACCAGAAATTTGAGTAATTACTAATGTATCATATTCTAAACCCTTTTCAACATGAGTAAAAATTCTCCTAAACAAACAAAAACTAAGCTAAACTAAACTAAACCATGGCACAGTGAATATTATGTTACACAGCCATTAAGGTATTATGGATGATTACATAGCCATTTAAATAAATGAACTGGAAGGGCACACCAGAATGTGAATGAGTCTTGGCAGTATAAAATTAAGTGAAAAACATTCAAATAATTACGTAAGTCTGGTACTCTTTTTATCAAGTTAAAAACAAAATCAGAAGAGTATTTGTAAGGACTATGCATAGACATTATAAAAGTACATGAAAAGGAAAGAAAGGGAATGGTGAATACAGGATTGAAGGTCAAGGTCACTGTTCCCTCAGATGGCGAAGGAAGCGAGGTGGGATGGTGGTGGGGGTATGATAGGGTTGGCCAAAGGTTATGGTCAAGGTCCTGGCTGTTGTTTGGGTCTGATGGTTCTTCAGGTGCTTATTTTGTTAAAACAACTACTTACCTACTTAACTTTGGGGTCCAATGCTGGGAGTGTCCCGAGACAGAAGAAGACAGTGGGCAATAGTTTCAAGAAGTTAGAGAAACTAAAAGCTGTCCTTTTAGATTCAACCTCTACCACAAGGCCCCTCAAACCCTGGCTGCCCCCAGGCATCTGTGCAGCTTAAAGCAACTTACTTAGCATCTCTGGTCTTCTCAAATTTGAGGAAGACAGTGTCTGACTGATAGAGGCTCTGTCACACTCTACATCTGAGAAGCCCTTTGTGATAATGAAAATGCCCCTTGAACACACGGAAATGTTAATAAACACCTGCATGAATATTTGTAGGAGATTGCTTAGGATATTGTTGTTTGATATAGTTATAGTTGAAAAGACTTAGGACATGGGTTTTGATACAGAGGCTGGTGGAGGTTGGAAGACAGGTAAGGTTCTTCAATCTGCCAGGGTGACTGCAGGTCGGAAAAGATGTCCAGTGTCTGAAATGCTCCCTGGTTTCTCATCAAGACATAATGAGACTCCCTACTTAAGCTCCTGGAGAATCTTTTGACTTTCACCCCTACCCTGAGTGGGCAAGGGTGGGCATTTCTGCCTCTTTCTAGTAGGTCGGGATTCTGCTAATGGAAAGCATGTAATATTTGTTATTTCTTTTATACTGCCATATTTGTATATTTAACATTTAGTAGGATGTGTATCCTTCTAGAAATAGAAAAATGGAGGCTGAAGTTTGTGTTTGCTGCTTCTAGGTGCTGAGCACATCTCAATACAAGGACCCTACTAAATAGTATATGTTTTGCTAAGTTTAAATGGAAAGCTATGTTGATAACATTGATTTATTTATCAACATATTTTCTCATTGAGGCAATGTTGCAGGGTTGCAGTCAATCAAACTCTATCCTTAAAGATGATGCCTTAGAGCAACTTTTAATGGAAACAAAAATCAAGATCTAATAGGAAGTGGTGGCTTCCAGACTGGGTTGCTTAGGACACTGGGATTCCCTTCGTTTTTTTAAGGGTGGCCAGGGAGGTCAAAGAGGAAGAAGAATGAGTGAGGTGTTCAGATCCCTGCCCCTGGGCAAAGCTAGAATGACTGACCACTACTCACTTATTTTATACAGTGGGGGTCCTTGTATCATTTTAATAAGAAAAAATTAGAGGGTCTGGGTGGCTCAGCGATTGAGCGTCCAACTTCAGCTCAGGTCATGATCTCACAATTAGTGGGTTCAAGCAAGCTTTGTGTCGGACTCTGTGCTGACAGCTCAGAGCCTGGAGCCTGCTTCGGATAATGTGTCTCCTTCTTTCTCTGCCTCTCCCCCGCTTGCGCTCTGTCTCGCTCTGTCTTTCAAAAATAAATCAATGTAAAAATTTTTTTTTGAAGAAAAGCAATGTTGCTGTTCTAACGAAGTTTGAAAGCCACTATTCTAAGGTGTCAGTTTTCTTTATGCGTCCCTTCCAAACTTAATCTTATAAGTAGAATGCACTTTCTTTTACAATGCTTTTAAATGATAGGTTGTAAGAAGAGAAAACACATTTAGCAACAACTTCAAACAAAAATTTGGGATAACAGCCATGTTTTTCATAAAATTTCTAATCAAAGCAGTTTAGCCAAAGGGTTTCTATTTTTTAAATTGATTTCTTTCTATTATCTCAATCTTGATTTGTGCATTAGTTAGCTTGTGTTTTACTATTTCTGTAAGTTCAGCACCACGCCCAGCTTTATTGAAATATAATTGACATATAACATTGCATAAGTTTAAGGTGTATAACGTGTCAGTTTGAGACACTTATATATTGCAAAATGATTACCATGATACCATTAGGAAACATCTCCATTCTATCATGTAATTATTGTTTCTTTTTTGTGGGGAGAACATTTAAGATCTACTCCCTTATAGCACATGTATATATTTATATATTTATATTTATATTTAGGGTTAGAGAGAGAGGGAAGGAGAGAATCCCAAGCAGACTGCACTGTTAGTGCCTAGCCCTGTGAGGGGCTTGAACTCATGAACCATGAGATCATGACCTGAGGCAAAATCAAGTGCTGGCCACTCAACGGACTGAGCCACTCAGATGCCCCTAGAAGTTCATTTTAAAGTCCTTTCTCTTTGCCCTTGAATTCCTATGAGGAGACACACTTTGAGGGCTTAGAGCAGCCTTCAGGATGCTCTCCACAGCCAGAGCAGAATCTGTTTCCTGCCTGTTTACCTTTCCTCCACCTTCACCCTCAGGGTATCTCCCAAACCTCTCCCTCTTTCCCCAACCCCCAGATAGAAGACAGCTCTTTTTTTTTTTTTAAAGAATTAAGAGAGTGACATTTATTTATTTATTAAATTTATTTTTTATTTTTTAAAATTTACATCCAAATTAGTATATAGTGAAGCAATGATTTCAGTAGGTTCCTTAATGCCCCTTACCCATTTAGCCCATCCCCCTCCCACAACCCCTCCAGTAACCCTCAGTTTGTTCTCCATATATATGAGTCTCTTTTGTTTTGTTCCTCCCTGTTTTTATATTATTTTTGTTTCCCTTCCCTTATGTTCATCTGTTTTGTCTCTTAAAGTCCTCATATGAGTGAAGTCATAGGATTTTTGTCTTTCTCTGACTGACTAATTTCACTTAGCATAATACCCTCCAGTTCCATTCATGTAGTTCAAATGCCAAGATTTCATTCTTTTCGATTGCTGAGTAATACTCCATTATATATACGTAGCACATTTTCTTTATCCAGTCATCCATCGATGGATATTTGGGCCCTTTCCATCAACTTTGGCTGTTGTTGATAGTGCTGCTATAAACATGGGGGTGCATGTGTCCCTTCGAAACAGCACACCTGTATCCCTTGGATAAATGCCTAGTAGTGCCATTGCTGTGTCATAGGGTAGTTCCATTTTTAGTTTTTTTGAGGAACTCATACTGTTTTTCCAGTGGCTGCAATTCAGCTTGCATTCTGGCCACCAACAGGTAAAGAGATCCTCTTTCTCCACATCCCTGTTGTTGCCTGAGTTGTTCATGTTAGCCATCTCTGGCAGGTGGGCAGGATATCATGTATTTTGCTTTTGTATTTCCCGATGATGAGTGATGCTGAGCGTTTTTCATGTGTCAGTTGCCATCTGATGCTTCTTCTTTTTGGAGAAGTGTCTATTCATCGTCTTTGCCCATTTTCCACTGGATTATTTGTTTTTTTAGGTGTTGAGTTTGATAAAGTTCTTTGTGATTTTGATACTCAACTTTATCTGATATGTCAATTGCAAATATCTTCTCCCATTCTGTCAGATTGCCTTTTTAGTTTTGATGATTGTTTCCTTCACTGTGCAGAAGCTTTTTATTTGATGAGGTCCCCGTAGTTCATTTTGCTTTTGTTTCTCTTGCCTCTGGAGACGTGTTGAGTAAGAAATTGCTGTGGGTAAATCAAGAGGTTTTTGGCCCAGCTTTTCTCCTCGAGGATTTTTGATGGCTTCTGTCTTACATTGAGGTTCCTTCATCCATTTTGAGTTTATTTCTGTGTCTGCGTGCAAGGTGCCGTGTCCAGGTTCATTCTTCTGCATGTCGCCATGTCCAGTTTTCCCAGCACCACTTGCCAAAGAGAGGACTGTCTTTTATTCCATTGATATTCTTTTCCTGCTTGTCGAAGATTAGTTGCCCAAGGCTGCCGTCAGGGTCCATTTCTGGGTTCTCTATTCTATTCCATTGATCTGAGTGTCTGTTCTTGTGCCAAAGGCAGCTCTTTAAGTCACTGGGAGAGAACAAATCTTGGTCATTAGATTAAAAAAAATTGTTTTTTAATGTTTATTTATTTTTGAGAGAGACAAAGCATGAGCAGGGGAGGGACAGAGAGAGAGGAAGACACAGAATCTGAAGCAGGGTCCAGGGTCAGAGCTGTCAGCACAGAGCCTGACGTGGGGCTTGAACTTGTGAAATGGGAGATCATGACCTGAGCTGAAGTCAGATGCTTAATTGACTGAGCCATCCAGGAGCCCCTTGGTCATTAGATTTTGATTAAAAAAACCAAAAATTCATCCTGAAAGAAACTTCTGCTTTATTTGAGCTTTACTTTGCTTAGCCTGTTCTCTTTGGGCAGCCAGTGGGACAGCCAGGAGGTTCCTTTGTATTTCCCAGCATCACTAGTTGTTTTGCTCCCACTTCAGATGGCTCAGATAGCTTTCAAGTTGCATAATCTTGTGTGGAGTGTCTACACCTGTGGACAACAGGCAGAGCCTAGTGTTGGAGTCCAGAACCCCTGCCTGTAGGACTAAGGGGAGGTCCTTCATGTCCTCATATGCAAAAGAAAAAAAGAAAAGAAAAGATAAAAATCCCCACCTCACCGGGCCATTCTGGGGATTTAGTCAGAGACAGTCTTGCAAGGGGGAGTTGAGGACATGGTTAAAATGGCTCCCAGTGACACCTGTCCACACTGCTACACTTTTGTTCCCTGCTTGCTCTTCAGGTACGGCAAGCTTCCTGATCACCATTACCCCAGCATTTTCTGAGATTGCCTGAATGCCTCCATTCACTTCCTGAAGGCCCTGGAAACCTACAGGGTGGACCCCTCCCGCTTTGTGATCTGTGGAGACAGCACTGGGAGAGCGTATGTAGTCTGTGTCACCCAGGACCTGGTGGGCAGATCAGATATTTCCCAGATCCGGGCCCAGGTCCTGATTTATCCACTTGTTCAGATCATCAGTTTGCAGCTGCCATCTTACTGGCAGAGCAGAAATGTCCCATCCTGCCCCAGAAGTTCAGGATGACATGTATGTTTAAATATATGGTTATCGACTTTCACTGGTGGGAAGCCATCTTGGATGGTGCCTTAATGCCCCCAGACTTCTGGAGGAAGTACAAGCAGTGGCTCAGCTCTGACAACATACCCAGGAGATTCAGGAAGATGCGCCACCAACCTGTGTTTCCCGGCCCTTTTAATGGGGCTGCCTATCTGGAAAACAAACATCTTTTGGATGTAGAAAATGCCCCTCTGATAAGAGATGATGAGACCATTGCTCACCTTCCCAAGGCCTTCCTGGTGAGCTGTGAGCATGACATCCTCCGTGATGACACCTTGCTCTATATGAAGCGCTTGGAGGACCAGAGGGTCCCCGTGATGTGGTATCAAGTAGAGGATGGCTTTCATGGGTCCCTACTGCTTTTTGACAAGGAAATTTTCTTGTTCCTGTGCTCCCTGAAAATTGTGAATGCTATAGCCAATTATATAAAGAGCATATAGCAACCCTGGGGTGCTGATTAAGGAGATGCTGAGTCAATGCTCTGCTCACATGAGAAGGATAAGTCAGCTTAGAATGGTTTTGCTTAGTATTTCAGAAAATCCAAATTGTGAGCAACACTTGCTAACATTCTCACTCAGGTGAAATAAATATCAAAGGGAGAGACTAATGCCTTTAAAAACTTCTCAAAGCCCTAACACACAAGGTCTGTGAAGAATAAAAGCTAACAACTGGGTATTCTGTCTGTGTGTCTCTAATCATGGTGCATCTATGCTCATGATGCCAACGCAGGGCTTGGGGCCATGGTGCCTGTTGGACGAGGGGGCACCTAATTGTTCTTGGGATCATAGGTCACCAGCCAAATTCCAACACACCAGTTATAGATCAGTCTCCAGCAGGAGAAATGCTGTGGCAATGAAACTCTTGCCTCACTTTAGCCATCCTTGGACACGACTAAAGGCAGGTTTCAGGGGAGGTGGTGGGAAAAGGAGATGGGGAAGAGGGAAGGGAGAAGCAGTGAGGGAAAGAGTGGGCTCTGGGGGGCTGCGAGTGTGGTCTGGGCTCAAGTCTTTAATCCGAATTCCAAAATCAGATTCCTGGCTACCAAGAGGCAGGTTCTCAGAGCTAAGTCTGTCCTGGGAACCTCCAGATGCTATCTGGAATATGAAAACTGCATTCTCCAAGACAGACAACTTACTATACATTCTTTCTTTGGTGAGCTTATGTATTGTTCCCACTTTTACAAAGAACCTTGCCTTAGGGGCGCCTGGACGTCTCCATCAGTAGAGTACAATCCTTGATCTTGAGGTTGTGAGTTCAAGCCCCACATTGGGTGTAGAAATTACTTGAAAATAAAGAAATAAAATCTTACAAAAAAGAACCTTGGCCTTGCTTAGTTCATACCACTTTCTCTGCTCATGGGGTAAGGAAAGAGAATCTTGGTATTGCATGCTGGCATAGTCCACATTAGTTTTTCCACTGGGCTCATGTTTGCTAGATACATCTGTAATAACACTGGGCCTCACTGCTGTCTAGACCCACCCAAGCACTGGAGTTGGAGGCTCCCTTCTGTTCAACCATAGCCTCCCTTGGTACCAAGGACCCCACCAATGGTCAGTGGAGGAGGGAGTCTTACAGGTGTCTTGGATCCTTGCAAAGAAGGCAAATATCTTTTTCCAAAAGGTATTTCATTTTACCAAACAGGCAGTTTGGACTGGGATTCTCAGGACACAGGCAGACACAGAGTGGGAGCAGGGGAGTGGCAGAGAGAGAGAGACATACACACAGAATCTGAAGCAGGCTCCAGGCTCTGAGCTGACAGCACAGAGCCTGACGAGGGGCTTAAACTCATGAACTGTGAGACCTGAGCTGAAGTTGAACACTTAACCAACTGAGCCACCCAGACACCCCCAAATTTAATGTTTAAAAAAAATTTAAAAATTAATGGGAAAAGATGAGTCAGGCATTCTCTCTTATACAGTTGATCCTTGAACAACATTGGTTTGAACTGCTCCAGTCTGCTCATATGTGGACTTTTTACAGCCCAGTACTGTAAATGTATTTTCTCTCTCTTTTGATTCTCTTAACCACATTCTCTTTTCTCTAGTTTGCTTTACTAATTTTTAAAATTTATTACTATTATTTTTAAAGTAGGCTTCACACTCGATAGGGAGCTTGAATTCATGACCCTGAGATCAAAAGTCAGAAGCTCTGGGACTTCAGAGCCAAGGTGAGTAGAAGCTAAGATACAGCATGTTTTGGTTGTTGTGCCGTAAGTCATACAAGTCTTTGAATCTGCACAAGGTATCATATGTTTCCTGACAGTGTCCATGACACTGGGGCAGGCTAGCTGGGTCATCTGCAAGTAGAATAAAATCTCACCTATTTCACAGTTCTTGATATGCCCTTTACATATTTCCCCTTTGCCACCAGGTTTGTCAGTAGAGGATGCTGGAGGAATACTGAAAATAGATGGAGTCTCTTCCTGGTTCTGGTGCACTCCCTTGGCCAGACTTCTGCTGCCAAAGAATGGTTTCTCTAGGGACACCTGGGTGGCTCATTTGGTTAAGCATCCGACTCCAGCTCAGGTCTTGATCTCATGGTTCATGGGTTTAAGCCCCACGTCGGGCTCTGTGCCCCACGTCGGGCTCTGTGCTAACAGCTCAGAGCCTGGAGCTCACTTTAGATTCTGTGTCTCCCTCTCTTTCTGCCCCTTCCCTGCTCATGCTCTGTCTCTCTCTCTCTCTCTCTCTCTCTCTCTCTCTCTCAATCTCTCTCAAAAATAAATAAACATTAAATTTTTTTAAATGACTTTTCTGGCACTGGGCTCCTGCAGTATTCCCTCTTTCCAGCATATGGGTCCTGCGGTGGATGGTTTCTCTGGTGCCTGGCTCCTACAGTACACGACGGCCATCATACTCAAGTGGTCAGCAGCTTTCCTGGGCACTTGTACAGCAGAATGCCACCAATAAGGCATTTACCCATGCATGGCTTCCTTGACACCCTTTCCAGTTAGCCATGGCCATGTCCTCTAAAATAAAATCTGGATCTTGCCCTAGGGATATTGGTTGTTCACTATATCTGTGACTCCCTTTTCTGTCTCTTGGTTGGACCTGACTAATACAGAATCTAAAGTGCCTTCCACTCTGTGTTCAGATGATCCAATCAGCACAATGTCACCAATGCAGGGGACCACTGTGATGTTTGGTGCCATGATTGTGACCTCTGCACACTATATGCTGTCACAAATGTTCTCTATAGGTATCACACTATCGACTTTCTTGCAAGCGGGAGAATTGACAAAGCCCTGATGAGAGACCGTAAAGGTATACTGTTGGATCTGTCAGATAAAGGCAAATGAAACCTATATTCCTTACAAGATGGTATGGACAAAAGGGCGTTGGCTGGGGCCATGGCTCCATACCAAGTGCCAGGAGCTGTGTTTGTGGGCTCCAAGAAAGAATGACAGCTGGGGGAGCAGCTACAGTTGGAGTCACTGCATGAATAAGTTTAGAATCATTCATAGTCATCCTCCAAGATCCATCTGACTTCTGCACAATCCAAGCTGGTGAGTTACACTGGGGTGTGACAAGTGTTTTTTCAAGTGTTTTAGGATGACAGCAGCCTTTGCGGTCCCTGTGAGATTCAGCACTGCTTCTGGTTTACTATCTTGGTGCGGGGGGGCGGGGGGGAGATGGTGAAGATCCACCGCCTTCCATTTAGCCCTTACTACCCCAGACTTTGATCACAGAGCCAATGTGGGGACTCAGCCAGTTTCCAAGGATATCTACTCCAATTATGCATTCAGGAAGTAGGGGTATAACAAACGTGAGTCTGTGGACCAATGGATCCACTGTGAGTTGGACTTGAGGAAGACCTTGCCTATCTCCTGAGTACAGGAAGCCCCCACTTTGACCCGGGAGTCACAATAGTGTTGTGGGTCCACATGGAGAGGCACCATGGTCAGTCAGGAGACAGAAGGAGTTAGGGAAGAGCAAGCAAGAGCCTTTATTGTGGTTTCCATGGGGAGGAGCAGGAAAGAAAGGGTAAGCAGGTTAAAGATTGGTAGTTTCGAGTAACTTCAGTGGGTTCTGGGGCCCAAGGGCTGTCCCTAGTTATCTGATGTCTTGCCTAGTTGTCTGGCACCTGAACTTGGTCATGACTGGGGGAAGGGAAGAGTGGCCCAGAGTGTGACAGCTGGGGAGAGAAGGTAGTTGGGGGGGGGGGTGGCTCTGAATCAGCTGGTTTATATTTGAAAATTGCAGTCCCAAGTGGGTTATTTACTATCTTTAGGATTTGACTAACCCTGGGAGGGACAGTCGCTTCTAGGTCAGTTGGGCCCTAGATGCCAAAGCATCAGAATACAGAAAGTTAAAAAACATGTTTAATAAAAGGAATGGTGATGAAGCTGAGTCCTTAACTTGAGAAGATCGGGCCAGTGAATAAGAGGAGAGGTGAGAATGGGGTAGGTGACTACCTCACAGCCTGGGATTTGTTCTTTCTCACCCAGGCTGAATGTGGCACATAGGCCAGCTCTCTTATCTCTGATTTTACAACTGAGGGCCACAGAGCACCTGATGTGACTTTTGCAAGGTTCCCAGTCTCCTAGGAACCAAGCCGGGGTTTGGGCTCATCACCCCGAAGGCTCCCCCTACCCCCCACTCTGGCAGCCCATCTCCCGACCAGAAGGTTGTGGTTAAGCACACCTTCCCCTGTGGACAAGGTGCCAGGTCTCCACTCCCGCAGGGACAAAGTCTTCCCAGGTGGAAATCTGACCCTTTACATGGAGACATCTTGAATTTGCCAAAGCCTCTTCCTGTGAGGGAGAGACAGGCCTTGGAGCCACCCTATGAATTACAAGGTCTACAGGTGAGAGGGTTTCACTAGGTCTTCTAGAGGTGAGAGTTTTTCCTCAGCTCACCGTCCAGGAAAAAGAGCATCAGGGTTGCTTTGCTGCAGACCCTTCTCACCACTTGGTGCATCTTGGGCCTGAGAGTCGGTGTGTGTGGGTTCTTGGTAGGCACATCCCTCCTCCCATCAGCCACCTGGTGAAGTTTTGGCTTCTGCCCTGCATTTTACTATTGACAATGAAATGGGTAAAGTTTTGCTTAAGGCCCACATCCTGCTAAGGGGATGAGAACCTGAGGTCAGATAAGAGGGGCTTAGGGAGGGCAATGCATAGGGCTACATAGGATAACAGTGCTGGCTAATGTTTATTGAGCATTTATTATGTGCCAGGCACTGTACTGAGGGCTTGTTAAAGGAAAGACAATGGCCTATATATACAGTGACCATCAAAATGAGCTCTGAATTCACTTATTTGTCAGGCAAGGGAGCCATCGACAGTGAAGAAATTCATGGAGAATTTAACTATGGGAAAGAATTAGGAGTTTGTATATACTAGAAACTGAGAAGGGGGCGTGTATGTTGGTCCTGCCTGGGTAGGGCAGAATGAGTCTGCAATTCCAGACCCAGGCATTGCTCATGTGAGCAAATATATTGT